GAACTTGACAGAAGCAGGGGCTAACAGCAGGAGCTCACCCCCCTCCCCAGATTCAAACTCTCCAGATTCAAACTGCCAACCTTTCAGTCAGCAAATTTAGTAGCTCAGTGGTTTAACCCACAGCTCCAAGAAGTCGTAGATACAGCTTAATCACTGTGATAAAATATTTCAAATCAAATTTTAAAAAAACTTGAGACCTTGTCTAACATGTGACTGTGTATATGCATGTGCCTTCAAATTACCTGTTGACTTATGGTGACCCCATTCATTTCATAGAGTTTCTTAGGCAAGGAAAATTCATAAGTGGTTTTGCCAATTCCTTCCTATGAAATATACTCTGCATCATCTGATATTCAATGGTAGCCACCAACCCAAGTACTAATCAGAGTTGGCCTGCTTAGCTTCCAAGATTACTACCTCCCCCTTTGGATCTCGCACAAGAGAAAAAAGTAGGATTATGATGATGATAATAATAATTATTATAATAATGACAATAATAACAACCCCCACCCCCACCCAACTGATAAAATGGCATCTAGTGCCTTTAAGGTATTTAGGCCTGACAAAAGATGCCAATTAATTTCTTATGCGATCAAGTTGTGCAAAAACTGAGAAGGGTTTATTTGTTTCCCGATAAATGAGCCTCTGTGTGTGTTCCGACCTTATAGACTGAAATCCAATTGTTTTTCTCAACTAGAGTATATCCACTGAATCAATAGATACTTGGTAAGTCAACATTTATGTAAGTTTAATTTATTTCAGGCAAAGTCTGTTTGGGACTAACCGCTGAATCCAATTCTTTGTGTCAACCACAGTAGATGGATAGGACTGAATATAATTACTTGGTCCTTCAGCCCTGGTCCCAAAATGTTGATTATTATTAACCTAATAAAGCCCTAATTGGTTTGTTGCCAGGATATCTGAAAGACTACCTTCTTTCATATTAACCACCCCATAACTCAAGAGGCTTCTCAGACTAATTGCAAGACTAGTTAGTGTGTACATGTAAGAAGGATTTCTCTGTAGAATGGCTTCCTCAATTTCTGAGTTGCCAATAGGCTGCTAAAATGGTGTTTTGAATGGCCTTTGGTATTAAAAATTGCTCTGTTTTAAGAATTTGTTTTAAAATTATTTCAAGGACTATTTTAGATTGTTTTTAAAATTTCTTAAAGAGTATTGAGTTTGTTGTTAAAGCTTTTATATTTGTACTGTTTTCGATGTTTTTATCCTGTTGTGTATCACCTTGAGGGCCCCTAATGAGTTGGGAGCCAACATAGAACTAGAATAGATATATTGGTTGCACCTAAATTGTAGAATTAATGCAGTTTGATACCACTTTAATGGCCATGGATCAATACTATGGAAACCTGTGAGTTGTAGTTTTACATGATCTTTAGCCTTTTCTGCGAAAAAATACTAGTGTTACCGAAATCAGCTATCTGCCACTAGGCGGCAGTGTAAGTCAATTGCCTAGTACACCATGCTACTTTGAAAGCCAGGAAAAAAATGACTGGGTTTGAAGGCAATAACAAAGGTTTATTCACCCGGCCAGATGGATGACAAAACAGCATAATTGCCAAAAGAACTGACATAACTCACATTTGTGCAGCATATTTGTGCAGCATATTGATAAAATTTGGCAGCCATTCAAACTTTACATTCCCTCCCCTGCAGGCATGTAGCCAGGGGGGAGGCCTTGAGGGGCTTCAGCCCCCCCCCCAATTCTCATGGTGGTTCGCGAAAAGGCCTTACCGGTGCATTATTTAAACTGTTATGTTTATTCATATCATGATCTGATCACCATGCTCAATATATCTCATATGCATGGGGGTATTGGGGTAATGATACAAAAGGTTTGCTAGGGTAGACCCTCTTTCACTCAGGCTCAGCCCCTCCCCCCGAATCGAAATCCTGGCTATGGACCTGCTCCTGCTGGTCAGGAGATATTTTTCCTGGGATCCATCTTCTCATTGACTGAGACTTCCTCCTGACATCACAAACTGGGGAGGAGTGGAAAATGGAACAGCTGGAATTGGTGGTGTTCAACATTAAAGCTGTGCCCGCCTCTGAGGGTATGAGCCCCATTGTCCAGATTGAGTATTTAGTATTAATGGGCTTTGGAAGCTTGGAATAATCTGTACACAAAGAGTGTGGCTTGGGAAACCCGAAAGCCAGTCAAGTGTGTAAATAAAATCCTTGATGAGTCCTGGATCCGGGGGTTGCTGGCAATCAGTCTCTCAGTAGGGAGTCCACTGGAAGAATTTGTATTGTTTCACAAGACAACCACATAGTACAAAGTCACATAAACTATATCATGTAACTTGTGATAGTTGATTACTTTGGGTCTAATGGATCTTGTGCTGGTACAGCAGGGGCTTAGTTGTAGAATCGTAATGGTAACATGTTGGAGTGGGCAGTTTGATTATGTAAAGTTTTGCAACAATGAGGGTTAGGAAAAAAGGAAAGAGACACCCAGTAGACAGAAAGAAAGAACCAGGTCTGCTTTGTTAATTAAAGATTTGTGTAATTTCATATCTATCTATCATCTATCTATCTATCTATCTATCTATCTATCTATCTATCTATCTATCTATCTATATGTGTACATGTTTCTTGAGGCAACAAGGTTAGGGAATTTTATCTTTATTTTTATTTCTCTTGAAGTAGAGAGGGTGAGGGTCAGGAGGTGTGGGAAAGGTCAGTCTTGAGATGTTTGGAGTTTTAACAGGTTTTACTATGTTGTTTTATATTGTTGATTTTGTTATTTCATATTTTGTCATGTTGTATTTTGTTATTATGTGTTTATTATGTTGTATTATTTTGGGCTTGGCCTCATGTTAGCTGCCCCGAGTCCCCTTTGGGGAGATGGTGGCGGGTTATAAATAAAGTGTATTATTATTATATAAAAGTGGGAGGTGAGGCAGAAAATAGGCTGGCCTGAGGTGTTTCCTCAGAATTGTAAAAGAAAAGTTGGTCAGATTAACCCTCCCAGGAATGTTTGGGGTTGGGCAGGGGCTGAGCTTGGCTGAAATCCAGCTAAGCTTTAAAAATATGTTATAAATTTATAGTTATTATTATTATTATTATTATGGGGGGGGGGTGTTCGATATTTGCAATAATACTGCTACTAACCAAACTACAACTCCCAGGACTGCATTAATTCTGCATTGTAGAGACACCTATAGGCTCAGTCTTAAGTGGAGCTTGTAAAATTGTGAGAACTTCTATGGTATTAACCAAATTGAATGAAACCATAAACAAATATTTGCTCAGTCTAGCTTCTTCCTTTTTTATTTGCATATTACCCCTCCTGGAATAATTATTTGGATTGGTTTTGTGTGTTTGTGTGTGTGTGTGTGTGTGGTTGAGTACTAAGCGGTCTGTAAAGGAGTGCAAAGCATTTCAAAATGTGTTTCACTAGGACAGTTCCATTCTACTTTATTAGTGTTCTGAATGAGCCAATTCCTGTTTGAATTGAAGGGGAATTTCTTGTCTAGCAAAGCAAAATGGATGGGGGAGGAAATAATTAAGTGCCACACTTTTTCTACAAAAAGGCATTTGTTTAATATGTATTTGGTTTCTTGGTGGCTTGAAAAGAAAGCCACCAAGTAACAATTATTCTCGAGCAGAAAAAATTCCCAAGTATATTTAGTGACGTTGTAAGTGTCACATTTATTTCACCTTCTCAGAATAGTTGTGAAAGAATTGCTGTCATTTGAAGCAGACTAAATCATACCTGTCAGAATGATACTGAGTCTCTCACACTTGTCTAATGTTCAAAGAGATTAGGCAAATATTGGATTTGTTTCACGGTCTAATGTATGTGACTAAGAGCCGGGGTATATATTTCAAAGTATGAGAGACAGAGAAAAGAAAAGAAAGATTTAAACTTCCTTTAACACTGACAAAACTTTAACCAGCTTTAGGAGGATTGGGGGAGGTACTGAGAGAATAAAGCTAAAATGCATGTTTATAGTGCACAAAAAGAACAAAAGAACATGTAGATACAATAAGTGGGAATTCTGCAATAAAAATGTAGCAATATCATTCTGATAAAAAGGAAACATTGAAATTAATAAAGCAGAACCAAGCGATGTCAGTAATAATACAAATACAACTACTCTGTAATCAAAATGAAGTTCTTCTTAATGTATATTGCAATTCATTAAGATAGACAGCATAATCCCTTAAATTGGCATCTTCTTTAGCAGGTCTTGTGAGGAGAGATCTTAAGAGAGGGAAGATAAACCACTTTCTGGGTATTTTAATTCATTGATGGTTTTATCACTTTCATCAATCAAAATCTGGAATTTTACTTCCTATTTGAAAAAAGAGTATCATTTTCATTTAAATCAACTTCAGAATTGTTCTCTACCAGGGGTATAGTAGAGTGGAGTTGTTCCTCTACAGCAGGGGTCCTCAAACTAAGGCCCAGGGGCCGGATACGGCCCTCCAAGGTCATTTACCTGGCCCTTGCTCAGGGTTAACCTAAGTCTGAAATGACTTGAAAGCACACAACAGCAACAAAAATCCTATCTCATCAGCCAAAAGCAGGCCCACACTTCCCAATGAAATACTAATAAGATTATCTTTATTAAAATTGTTCTTCCTTTTAATTATTGTATTGTTTTTAAGTGTTTTTGCACTACAAATAAGATATGTGCAGTGTGCATAGGAATTCATTCATGTTTTTTTCTTCAAATTATAATCCAACAGTCTGAAGGGCTGTGACCTGGCCCCCTGTTTAAAAAGTTTGTGGACCCCTGCTCTACAGTGTGGTCTCAAGAGAGGTCAACGTAAAAAGGAATATAAGCCAAACTAACTACTTACTACTGCTTCTTTTTTGCTACTTGCAAATTATGCAACAATGCCAAAAACCAATTAGCATTTGCTAATTGGCAAGGTTTTAAAAAAGGTGTTATTTAAAGTTGGGCATTTCTGGTTTATGCCGTTCTGTCAACAACATTTTTACCTTGCTTTTCTTGCTTATGCTTATATAGAAAGTTTTTATATTCTCTGGATCATTTCGGAAAAACTTGGATCCTTATGGACAATGGAGTGACGAAGAACTTTGGAAAGTTGCTGAGGAGGTAAAAATGCTTGTTTTCTTTAAGTTTTCAGTAAGGTCTATATAAGTATCTGGTTATCTAGGCAGAAGGAGGTGTCACAGATTGAAGCACAACTTGGCTCAATAACTGTGTTACTTATATGAGATAAGGTTTTGTAGAACAGACTCTTTTTTCCTTGTGAAACTGTAGCCTTAAAGCAATGATAAAATGTAGTTACTCATTTCCATTTACTATGTCTTACATATGCACTTTATAAAACTGATTCAACTCTTTTTAAATGACATTCTTTCCCAGAGATAAGACAGGTTGGAAGCCGAAATGAAGTAGGATTAGCCCCAGTTGCAGAGGCTAATGTAAGGAAGGCCAAGACTTAAAACAAGGAATAGCTACCCACCTTCTCATTCATTCCTCAAAGGCTTCTCAAGTTTTTGCAAGGCTGTGTCACCTTGACATTTCCCAGGCATGTACTCTATGTGTTAAAGTAGTGAGCCAAGCAGATGGATTTTGAGTCCTTGTTGGCATCACTGCCAAATCTTGATAGTTGTTCAGTGGCATGAAAGGGTTCATTTGTATTAGCAATCTTGTTGGATTCTTTTTATATTCACTTTGAAGTTTGGGTTGGGAAAGGATATTAACACTGTGAACCATCTAGGAGAGCTGATTTTTGCCTATTACTAACTTACTTTATTCTCATAGGTATAACAATAGGAAACCTTACCATGCCAACTAGATTTAGTGCGGTAGATAGAGATGGTTTTATACAGTGGATTTTAATGTCGAGATAAATGATTTTAATGCTTATGTATGTGTATAATCTTTTTATGTCCTGGCATTGAATGTCTGCCGTTCGTATGTTGTGCTCCTCCCTGAGTCCACTTTGGGGTGAGAAGGATAGAATATAAATGTTTTAAATAAATAAATACTGTATTTTCTGGTGTATTATATGACTTTTTAACACTGGAAAATCCTCGCTGAACTTGGGGGTTGTTTAGTACACTGGGTATAAAAATATCACTTCCTGTTTTGGGTCCAAAACAAGATGGAGGCTCCTAACAGGCAAGGGAGGTGGGCAGCTGCCCTGCACTGGAGCAGGGTGCCCGAAGCAGCAGCAGCTGCTGTGCTCCTCTAGCACCATTTGGCTCTTGCTGCCGGGCTTCAGCCTCACTGAGAGGTTCTTCCACTCTATGGCTGCCTCGGCTATCAGTGCGGAGGCAGAGAAGGAGGAGGCAATATACTTGCTTGACAGCTGCATTGCTTCCTCTGCTGCCGCACTGACAGCCAAGGCGGGCATGGAGTGGAAGAGCTGCTCAATGAGGATGAAGCCCAGCAGCAGGAGCGATGTGGTGCCAGAGGAGCACAGCAGCAGCTGCTGCTTTGGGCACCCTTCTCCAGCGCAGGGCAGCTGCCTACCTCCCTCGTCTGTTAGGAGCCTCCATTGGTTTTGGTTCCAAAACAGGAAGTGATGAGCATGGCGGTTGGCTGGCCATGGCGGGGCCTGGCTGCCGGTGGAGGGTAATCTGCTTATGGGGCCGAGAAGCCACCTCAAGGCCCAGGAAGGGCCTGAAGAGGCTAGCAAGAGGGGTAATCTAATACAGTGAGTATATCCAAAATTAGTCTAGTACGCCGGAAAATACAGTAGGTAGTAAGAAGAAATATGGGTCACATTTGCACATTTTGATTTTCTTTGTTTGTTTCTGCACTGTGTGACCTTTTGTAGACCTTGACCTAAAAGTATCTCATAACTCAGGCAGTCAAATGTCCAGCAGTGGGGAATTTAGTTCCTAGTTGAGGATAATCAGGTTATAATTTGTTGTAAGCCCAGTTTCACCACTGGCTGTGTGGGGATGATGGATCCCATCAACAAATGGGGATCCTATTCAGCAGTAGGGAATTTGGTTGCCAGCAGAGTGGTAATTCGGGTAGAATTTGTTGTGGGCCCAAATCTACTATTAGCTCTGTAGGAATGCTGGATCCCATCAGAGAAAAGGCTGAAAAGTTGTGAGAGTTACCATCAGTAAAGCTAATGCTGTAGTATGAAAGGACATCAATGCTTGGCACCAAAAAGCCTTTTGGGAAAGCCAGGAGCCACACCCAGTTCTGGCACAAAAGACTTTTCCACTGAAGATTATGGAATTCGTACTTCTAGAAAAATATGATGAATGCTTGATAAATGCAAGGCTGGGGTGAAAATTGCTGGAAGAAACATTAACAACTTTAGATATGCAGATGATACCACCTTGATGGCTGCAAGCGAGGAGGAGCTGAGGAGCCTTCTAATAAAGGAGAAAGAAGAAAGCGCAAATGCTGGGTTGCAGCTAAACATAAAAAAGACCAAGATTATGGCAACAAGAATGATTGATAACTGGGAAATAGAGGGAGAAAACATGGAAGCCGTGGCAGACTTTGGATTTCTAGGTGCAAAGATTACTGCAGATGCAGACTGCAGCCAGGAAATCAGGAGACACTTACTTCTTGGGAGGAGAGCAATGGCCAATCTCAATAAAATAGTGAAGAGTAGAGGCATCACACTGGCAACAAAGATCCGCATAGTAAAAGGTATTCCCCATAGTCACCTACAGATGTGAGAGCTGGACCACAGGGAAGGCTGAGCGAAGGAAATATAGATGCTTTTGAACTGTGGTGTTGGAGGAAAGTTCTGAGAGTGCCTTGGACTGCGAGAAGATCCAACCAGTCCATACTTCAGGAAATAAAGCCCAACTGCCCATTGGAGGGAAGGATAGTAGAGGCAAAGATGAAGTCCTTTAGCCACATCATGAGAAGAAAGGAAAGCTTAGAGAAGACAATTATGCTTGGGAAAATGGAAGGGAAAAGAAAAAGGGGCTGACCAAGGGCAAGATGGATGGATGGCATCTTTGAAGTGACTGGAGTGACCTTGAAGGAGCTGGGGTGGTGATGGCTGACAGGGAGCTCTGGCTTGGGCTGGTCCATGTGGTCACGAAGAGTCGGAAACGACTGAACAAAAGAACAACAACAACATGTTTGCTATGTGCGCGCGTGTGTGTGTGGGAGAGGGGTGAGATCATCTTCCAAAGTTAAGTTTGCTTTAACTTCTACTTAAAGCAACCTTGGGGCCCACATTGAGAAAAGTATATGTTATACTGTATATACTCATGTATAAGTTGAGCTCATGTACAGATTATGGGCATGTTTTGGGGCCATAATTATCGATTTTGATCTGAACTATGGATTAGTCAAGGGTCATTCTGTGGAGTGGGGAAAGTGCCAGTGTCTATCAATGTAGACATCAAAACTCACCAAACCACATTGGTCTGTGTTCTTAGATCTTCATTGGCTGGATCACAATAAATCTCAGTGCTTTGCTTAATAAAAGCTGGTAAAGTTCAGAGGGATAACCAACCCAGAGTTAAGCTATAACTAGATATGGTTTGTCATTACATTCTAACATGGTCAATTATCTCCATATGCTGAATAGATTTTGCATTTATATGTTTGGGAGACTGGGAACATGGTTTCTTTTACTCAAAACTGTACAACAAACTAGAGCTCTTGGCTTCATACATCTCAGTGTTCATCTATACTAGGCAAGTTAGTTTGGTATCAATCTAATCTGGAGCGGCCCTAGCACATGCATGATGACCATTGTCACAATAGAGCAGGACTATCATCTCAATTGGGCTGTCATCTCCTGTGTCATGCCAACATAATTCATGGCAACCTGTAGAGATACTTCTCTGTCCCTATTGTAGTCATATGTCTATGTTGTTTTACCATTAATCCAACTTCTGTTGCCTTCTATTGTGCATGTATTTTTGAATTGTTACCATATTTATGTAATAAACCATTTATATGATGAAATGTTTGACTCCTCCCCATTACACCTGACTTTTTCCTCCTTCAGGTTGGACTGAAATCTATAATAGAGCAGTTTCCAGGTCAACTTGATTTTGTTCTGGTGGATGGTGGCTGTGTCCTCAGCCATGGACATAAACAGTTAATGTGTCTTGCCAGGTCAATTCTCAGTAAAGCTAAAATTCTTCTTCTCGATGAACCAAGTGCCCATCTAGATCCCATGTAAGTACTGTAAGAACATTTTAATGTAATTATTTTAGCATTGGGACATCATTAAATGGTCATTATAAGGTCCATAAATTATTTTAATGTTATCTTTATGGTACTAATACTAATCTGATTTTTGACTGGGTGGAAGTTTTAAAATTATAAAATATAGCACTTACATAACTGATTTCCCCCTTCTTTAACCAACTGTAATAAATTACTTTGCATACTATTTATAATGCATTCATCCATAAGTGGTTTCATTATTTGTTTTCGTATGCCTTAAGTAAGAGATCTAAATACTGGCATTAGAAAAATACTTCATCTAAAGCCATTTCAGCATGACTTCAGGAATGCTTTTCTCATTGGTGGGTCACTTCTGTTACATGAGAAACTGCATGGGTGTAACCCTGTTAGTACTTCATGACAATGCAATGTCCACTGTGACATTTCTCCATATTGGTTCTATTTATTTATTTATTTGTTTATTTATTTACAGCTTTTATATTCCGCTCTTCTCATCCCGCAGGGGACTCAGGGCGGATTACAGTGTACACATATATGGCAAACATTCAATGCCAATTTTTGACATACAAACATATACAGACATACACAGAGGCTATTTAACTTTTTCTGGCCACCAGGGGAGCTGTCGCTTTCATTGTCCATCTGCGACGCTGATGAAGTGCTTCCGCATTCCCCACATGCTTCCCTACTGGAATGCTTTTGCTGGAGTCTTCTTTATGGTCTCATAAATTAGTTAATTTAGCCTCCCCACACTTTAAGAAATTAATAAAAATAATGGCTGCATTATAACTGCAGGCAGCTCTCAAGGTATGAACAAGATAGTTTCTGTAGGTTTGTTCTTAAATTGAATTTGTTTGTAAGTCAGAACAGGTACATTTTAAAGTGTAATTTCAGCCAAAACTATGTATTTTTAGATTTGGACTGCATAGGAAAGGGTGAATAACACCCTGTGGTAGTTTTTTTTTCCTGTCTGTGCCCCAGTTCAGAAGATTTCACCTTACTTTTTGTCCCTGTGATAATTGGATTTTGGAAAATTTGGCTTGCTGTGGAAACAAGGATTGGTGATAAAGCTTCAGTGAAGACCCCATTTCCCCGTGATAACTCTTTCAGGAGTGAATTTTCCTTCCAAAGGGCAGATTTCTCTCACTTCCTGTTGACTCACCCCCATTCTTAATATTAGCCGTTTGTAAGTCGGATGTTTGTAACTCAGTGACTGCCTGTAATGATCTATTACTTAGTTACTAAGTGGACTTTGTAACACCCGTTTAGGCCTGGCCGTAGCTGTTTAATAGTATGTGTGATAGTTATCTCTCATCTCAACTGTAACTGCCCTGCTATAAAGTCTGGCAAACATTGTAAAATTGCCTATTCAGTGCACTCAAATCTCTGCATTGCAGTCATTCACATCTTTAAAATGATTTATCTTTCAGGACTTTCCAGGTGATTAAAAAAACTCTCAAGCAAGCTTTTGCAAACTGTACAGTAATACTCTCAGAGCACAGACTGGAAGCACTGTTGGAATGCCAGCGATTTTTGGTGAGTGCCTTTCAAACATTAAATGCGATGCTTGGGATCCAAAGCGCTATTTGAAAGGCAAACCCTTTTCCAACATCCAAACCTATTATTGAAATCTTCTCAGTATCGAAAGTGGTTTCTTGGTGCCCAATCCCTGTCTGAGAAATCAAAATAAAAAGGCTTGTTGGTTCTGTGGGTTGTTTTAGCAGGTGCACATTATATATCTCGTGTTTCGTTTTATTCTGCATGAAATCACTTGTGTTGGTGAGAACACTTGCAGTTTCTCCTTGTTTTGTTGAATTAGAAGAAAGGGGGAATCGTTTGGTTCACCTTTCCAACTGGAGCGGTTTAGGATTAATAAAAACTCATAGCAAGACCGTAATAGATGCATGTCAACAATAGCACAAACTGCTCCCTGAGCTTGTTTCATTCACTTTTTAGTTTTAAGAACAGCAGTATCTCATAATCACATTAGGTTGATAGAATAGGTTCACAGATACATATATGTATGAATACGTTTTGACTGAGTACATGTATACTATAAAGCCTCCACACTTCAGTACTATTTCACCATTATTACCTTTCCTTTATTATACACACAAACTTATTAGGAGTAGCACTCCATAATTGGAGCCTCCAGTGGCATAGTGGGTTAAACCACTGAGCTGCTGAACTTGCTGACCGAAAGGTCACCAACTCAAATCCGGGGAGCTGAGTGAGCTCCTGCTGTTAGCCTCAGCTTCTGCCAACCTAGCAGTTCAAAAACATAAAAATGTGAGTAGATCAAAAGGTACCACTCCAGCGGGAAGGTAACAGCACTCCATTCAGTCATGCCGGCAACGTGACCTTGGAAGTTTCTATGGACAACGGCGGCTCTTTGGCTTAGAAATGGAGATGAGCACCAACCCCCAAAGCCGGACACGACTAGACTTAATGTCAGGGGAAAACCTTTACTACCTTTACCTGCTCTATAACCAGCCTCTTTGGTCAAATCATAGGCTGCGCTTAAGCCATTCTCCCCACTATTGATAAAATCCACTTTCTGCAGGTGGAGAAAGCAGAGAAATTGAGATCATGTAGTCGTCCTAGAAGCAGTAAGAAAGGAAAATTAGCTATAGATACAATTAAATCAAGCAGCAAAAGAAAGAAAAAGAGAGTCTTTGACAACACATAGTCAGTCACTTGTTGTTCTGCGGTTTAACCTCCCATTTCAGTTTTCCTGCTATGCAGCATATTTCACTTTGGATTACACTTTGTCATAGCTTAAATCGATCCATCTCTTGAGGAGCAGAAAATAAGCTGGTTCTCTCCCCAGTGGTGGGTATGGTAGCAATTGTTTTTGCTTGCGTCATGATGAGTGAATCAAGGAAGACGAGTTGGGCCGTGAGCTCTCAGTAAATACATAATCAATGTGAACTTTCACAGTAGGGAAATGCTTACTTATGGATGCTACACATTAAATTAGTCTGATGCTGTCCAATATCTAACTAGCTATGATAAAATATAAAAGATCATCTGGAGTTTTGGCATGCAGTGATATCTACATGCAGATGACGCCCAACTCTATTACTTCCTTCCACTTAAAGTCAAGAAATCTCTCCTGATTCTAAACCAGTGTCTGTCATCAGTAATAGACTGGATGAGGGTGAACAAATTAAACCTCAACCCAGACAAGACAAAGGTGTTCCTGGTCAGTCAGAAGACAGATCAAGGGAATAGGGATCTACTCTGTGCTGGATGGGGTTACATTCTACTGGAGGCACAGGTCTGCAGTTTGGGGGTATTCCTGAACTTGGAGGCCTAAGTTTCTGTGGTGGTGTAGTAGTAGTATTAATAATCCAGGAACATAAAATCACATTCTTCCACAAACAGTTGAATAAAAATGATTGAAATGTTATTATTGTTATTCATTAAAATGAGGTTGCTATCTAATTCTGATTTAGTTGAATTCTTTTACATTAGGTGATCGAAGACAATAAAGTTAATCAATATGAATCAATCCAGAAGCTACTGAGTGAAAAGAACTCCTTCCGACAAGCCATCAGCCATTCAGATCGAGTTAAACTCTTCCCTGTCCATCTCAGGAGCTCAAGCAAGCGCAGGTCCAGGCCTAAAATAGGAGCCTTGCAAGAAGAAACGGAGGAAGAAGTGCAAGAAACTCGGCTGTGAAGATGCATGGATGTGCTGTTGAATTACAGTTACTAGGAAGCCTTCTGTAGGGAAATATTAGACCATGGGAATATTGAAAAAGAACCACTGAAAAAGTGTGGGACCAAGCACTAATTTGAGGATTTCAGTTACTCTATAAATATGCAAAAAACTTCCCTGGATCAAATTAGTTGTTGTGGACAAGGAGACGTCTTCTTTTAAAAGACACACGAACCCCTTCCTTCAATATATATACACACTGTAATTTTTTAAAATTGGATTTTTAAAAACACTCCAATGATTCTCCTTCAAAAAAAATATAGATCTGAATGTAGTACTGAACAAACTTACTATCCAGTGCACTGAGTTTAAAAACTACTTTAAAAAATCAGCTAGGAGTAAACAAAAAAACAAACAAAAAAAACACATGGTTTTTCAGTTCCAGAGTTAATATGACACAATAACTCATGAATTAAATATATTAGATATTTGGACTGCAAAGCAAAATGAATACACAATTTATGTGTCAAGGAGGCCATGGTTCTGAAAAAGTCTGGGAATTTTTAAGAATGTGATTGTGATTTGTTTTTACATGTGGAAGGAGAGAATGAAAGTCAAACAAAAATTCATAATTCATAATTGACTAAGTTGGTACCAGTTTTGAAATGCAAAAGGCATGGGGCCTGCAAGTCTGGCATTATTTTGTTGTGTAGTACTACTTGCTGTAGTATCCATCCATGCTTATTCAGAAAAAATATATATCTGAGTTGCTTTGGAAGTACATTTAAATCAGTTACTTTAATTTTTGTGGTATGAATCATCTCACCATTATGGAAAGCAGCCATTATGACCTTACGGTAGATGATGGGCAGACATCAAGAATTGATACTTTAAACCAGCTAGACTTCAATAGATTTGAAGTATGTGTAAACATGACATTGCAATAGGTATGGTGAGAATTGTGTGTCTTTTTCTTTAAATAAAGAAATATTCCTGATTATTTTAGGATCATTGCATAATGCAATAAGATGCTGAGTTCTATAGAAGTGGAAGCTAATTGTGTGAATTGCACATTGGAAGTTGGATCATTTCTTAAACCAATTCAGTTTTGAAGAGAATTAATTAAATAAGCAAGACATTCTCAAGTCATTTCAGTGACTGGGAAAAGGACAGGAGTCCTCAGTTTTGAATCTGTGGATGATAAAACAGAGAGATAGATAATGCACACTTAAAGATGTTTTTAAAATATTTCATATACAGCCTTCCAAGACTTCTCCTAACAGTCTCAGTAAATACCAGCCACTAAGTCCTAGAAAATAAGCAATCCCATGGTGGTTGGATCCTGACATTTTTCAGCAAGTATTTTTTTAAAAAAATATTGTAATGGAAATAGTCATTTCCTGCTGCAAAGATGAAAGAGAACCTTTTATGATGCTGTTCTTTTATATAATTCTCTGTGTTGCAGCTAACTGACATTTATTTCGGATATTTATTCAGTCTTTTTTGAAAAAATAGAGAATGCATTTGTTAAAACTACTCTGTATTTTAAAGAAAGTGTACCAGAAAAAAACTATATTTGTATACAAATAATTATTTTATATTTGAAAAAAATTGAATCTACTGTACATTTTTGAAATTGTAGAATGCAGCAATATTTCATAGATATGTCAATGGCTGCATTGTGTGTGTGTTGTTTTTTTTTTGTTACTTTATTTTTTTAAGCACAAACACTGGTCTCCATTTAGAAAATGTGAGGCAATGTAGAAGTATAATATTTTGAGTACAATTAGTTGATGTAGCCAAACCAGATAAGACAAAATTCATCAAAAAATGAAGAGCTTTGTTTCATAGGAAATCAGCTTCAGCTTAGGTTTGGAGAACCATACATTGGAGGATGGGGTGATGAAGACATCAAAATAAATGTTCTATATCTTGACAGAGTCACTAATCAAAATGAAAATTTTAGTGTAGAAAGCAGAATAATTTTAAGACTGGGAAAGGATTGAGGTAAATCCTCGAGTACCACCATTAAACACTAAAGTGAGGGCCATCCATATCTCAGTATTTTCAATTTCTCCATAAAGCTGTGAAAATTGGACACTGGAATTAAAATTATAGGAAGAGAACTAACAGAAGTATACTTGAGGAGACGTCTAGAAAAGACAAATAAATGGGTCAGAGAGCAGGTCCGAACTCTCCGTAGAAGCCAAAATAACTCAACTGAGGTTTTGAACATTTCAGAAGATGACACATTTCACTGGAATGGACAATGGTGCTCAACAAATTTGAAGGCACTTGGAAAAGAAAAGGACTGCATTATAAATGGCTTGACTCATACAGAGAAGCCATGACCCTGAGCTTGCAAGACCAAAGCAGAGCCGATAATAGGAGAGTCTATTGGAGGTCTCTCATTCAGAGGGTCACGATAAGTCAATGCAGGCCTGATAGCACTGAACAATAATACATAATGTTATGAAGACTGAAAATTTAGTTTTTTATGTTATTATATTTTCCTATATTTGCTTTAGGATGTGTGTTTCTAATTAAAACCCATATTGTCAACTGCACAAAAACATATTTCTGGTTGCATTTTTTTTTTGTTTTCTTACTGCACAAAATTTATCCAGCTGCACATTTGAATAATGACTATTACTGAGTTGTAGATTTTTTGAGCTATATGGCCATGTTCTAGGGGCATAGAATGCTTCTGGAACATGGCCATATAGCCTGAAAAACCTACAACAATCCAGTGATTCCGGCCATGAAAGCCTTCAAAAATACAATGACTGTTACTTTTTCATTCTTTTAATGTCTGTGTGAGTTTTCCTATATTAATTCTAGCCTAATGTACATTGGTTAATTGAAATAGTATTAGAAAAAAATATCCACATATTGCAGGGCATTGCTTTAGAGAAGTGGGTAATTTGGCACTTTAATTTTTTAAAGAGTTAACCTCAGATTGGGCATAGATGGGTTTCACCCCTTACTTGGCTCTGATGATGAAATAAGGAGCCCTAGCCATTGTAGAAACTGAACATCTCCATAATTGTTTTTCATTGTTTCTTTGAGGCCAAGAATTTTTTTGTTGCTATAGTTTGGATCCACTGAAAACCAGTTTGATTTGATGTCGAAGTAAATAATATGGCTGTACATTGGGAAAGTCTGATGCTATACTAAGCACCTCCAGTGATCTGCACATAGCTCCATTTAAATTCTATTCCATTAAATCAAAGAAGAATGACCATTTCTGCATTTTAGTTCTACTGATTTTGTGGGGCCTGGAACACATTTGTATGTGTTTCTGTATGTATGAACTAGACAAATACCCACGGGAAGCAAAGCATATGATGAAACTTTGATAAACTGCTGTACCTTTTCAGATAACACTGGCCAACACACATTCTGATGCCTCAAATGTTAGACCTATTCCTGGGTATATTCAACCAGTAGAGCACATGTCATATACCAATCTTCATCTGCTCGCTCATAAAAAATGTAAACAACTAGAACTTATGCAGTCTATTCAATGCAATTTTTTGAATCGGCATCCTAAATAACCCCAGGAGCAGGCCTAAAAACGAAGATGTCAAGAATTGTTTTTGTTGGGGTGTGTAGTATATTAAAATTGTGGGATTTGCTGGTTTGTGTTGCAGTGACAGCCACTTCCTTGGGTAGCTTTAGCACAATGGTTCTCAACCCGTAGGTTCTCGGCTGTTTGGCCTACAACTCCTAGAAATCCAAGCCAATTTAACAACTGTTAGGATTTCTGGGAGTTGAAGGCCAAGACATCTGGGGATCCATAGGTTGAGAACCACTGCATTATCAGGTGATTAGTTAATATGCTGTGCAGAATCAGTGTTAATTGACTATACTGTTTATTGGGAGCTTCATCCTAATTGCTGAATAACAATTAGGAATTGTCAACAAGAGAAGGCTTTTGTTTTTATGAACTTCCTATCTTGATGAACATCTAGCATGATGGTACTTATTACTACTACTCTTATGTTTTGCTTTTCTTCAGTTGAGTTTAAGGTGGCACTTTTCTCTTTTTCCTTAAAAGCCGTTGCCAGACCAAAGTCACCTAAAACTCAAAACTTAACTTTCAAAATCCTAGTTTAACACTTCAATGCATATGCCACTTATGGTTTTGTAAGAGCTAACAATAAATTTAGAAGTGTAATGCCTGCCCTTTGCTTTCTGAAGAAGGTCTTGATCACAAAACACTCCACACTTCATACACAGTATTCTCAGGAACATTGTGTGCAGAGGCGGCCCTAGGTAATTTTAAACGGTAAGCTAACAGTATTTTGCCCCCCCCCCCCCAAAACCAATCACTGATATATATTTTCTGTTCGTCGTGGGAGTTCTGTGTGTCATATTTGGTTCAATTCCATCATTGGTGGAGTTCAGAATCCTCTTTGGTTGTAGGTGAACTATACATCCCAGTAACTACAACTCGCATATGTCAAGGTCTCTTTTCCCCCAAGAGCTCCTCAAGAGCGCCCCTGGGCAAAATCAACTGTACTGCAAATGCTTACTTTGCGTAATGGGCTGAGCCGCCCCTGATTGTGTGTTTCCTCATTTTGGTTTAAGTGGATCCTAACACAAGGGCTATGGCTCCTTCAACACAGCTGTATAAAATCCCACAATCTGCTTTGAACTGGGTTATATGGCAGTGTGGACTCAATAACCCAGTTCAAAGCAGATACTGTGGATTTTTCTGCCTTGATATTCTGGGTTATATGGCTGTGTGGAAGTGCTCTTAGTGTGAAACTGCCTGTAGTTGTGACTAATTTTTATTGGTTTATATGAATTTGTATAATTATACAAATCAAAAAGAGTATATTATTAAGCTATATTACTTACCCATCAGGCTATTATTGGTTTATATGAAAAAGTAATAAATAAACATGGTCCAATGTTTTTAAATCTATTTTCATATACAATGTTGTGTACAATATTTCAATAAAATGAATGCTTTGTATATTGTATCTCTATCATATGGTTAAAGACAAAATCTAAGTCAACTGTTCTCCCACAAAGTATCCAGCAATATTTTTCATAAAAGGCCAGAATGCAGAGTAGAAAAATAACTTTATTAAATGCCACAAAATAGCGAGCATTGATGTGTTTGAGGGTTTTTGACACAAGATGGTGCTGCAGAGTTGAGACATCTTCTAGTTTGCTGTATTAGTTTCCAAGACAGAAACATGCAAAGATGATACACACAAAATTGTAGTACTTTGGTGGGGTGATTAATTTTTGTAGGAAAACATGGATACGGCCCTTCATTTCCTATCAACAACCTTACTAACAATTCTCTGTGCCCCTCCTTACTCCATCCCTGATGTGACAAGTGGGGAAAAGAAAAAGAC